AAAACAGGGGAAACTCTGTCCGATTTTTTGTAAAATACCGATGAGGCTTACTTGGGAGCACTTGCTCCTAAGCGCCGGTCACGATCCTGAATTGGGTCGTGACAAAAGCGAACTTGATTTTCTGTTTTTTTTTTTTTTTGGCTTACAGTAATAGAATGGGTGTGGAGTTAACTAATATATCTATGGTTTATATGTATAAGACCACATTATACTATAATGGTTCATTTAACTGATTATTTGGAGTTTTGAAATTTTTTCTGATATTTGTTAATATCACTACAAGAAAAAGTCTTATTAGGGACCAATATTTAATGACGGGGCTCGAATCTGGTCCCTAAAAGTACACTATTAAGGATGAGAATATATGATGTGTTATGAAATACTTGATTATGGTGGATGTCCATAACTCCTAAGGGAGTAATACCCACTACTCTTCTCCATCAACCTCCCACTACTTCTTACCATTATGGATGTAACTCTCACACCTCCATGATCTTCCCCCATGTTCTCAATAGCTAATACCATGTTTATGGCATCCCTTTGTATTACCTATATCATCCTATAAATAGAGGGTTTGGGCATCACATTGTACACACTTGAATACAAAGAAGAAATAAGAATCTCTTCTCTCTTGCTCCCTACATTCTTGTCTATTTTCTTGTTTTATATTATTACTTTGAGCTTAGTTTCTTAACACGTTATCTGCAGGAATTGCTATATTCTTCTTATATTTTCTATAATAGATGAAAGCCTTCCATGAGAGCTACAACCTTGAATCAATTTGGTTGAGCCTGTGAAAATCTGGGCATTTCGTTGCCATATCAATGTTGTGTTTGCTTCTATTTTACAGGAAGTATCATTTTTCACTTGCCGTGAATTCTACAATTAACTTACGTTAATATTTATGACTTGGTTTACTTTGAGTTACCTAACAATTTAGTTTCATTTGTGCAGATGTATACATATGGAGAACCTGCTTTAGAGTGACAAACAAGAGCATATTATGATACCTTGACATCATCTCCCATATGTACTGCTCCGACAGTTTGCAAGATAAGATTATAGAACTGTTAACTATTGAGAAAGTTTCTAATTAATTTTATAATAATATTAAGAATTTAAATTTATGTTGTGGTCAAAATAAATTTTGTAAACTAAGATAGTTTTTTTTGCCCTTTATATTTGATCATGTAGTTGTTTGTGAAAAAGATCAATGTGAACTTCCATTTAAGTTCGGGAAAAAAATAATTAATTATTAGAAAGTAGTATATCATGAAAGGCTCAAGGGTGAGTCCACTTAGACTTATTATGCCATTGTATAAGGGTAAGACATCAGGTTTGAGTCCTGGTGCACTATGATGATAAGAGTTAGATTTGAGTCCCAACTCATTATGGCCTAACATGCCTTTATATGGGTAAAGCATTGGGTTTGAGTCCCAATGCACCATATTGATGATATAATGATGACTAATGAAAAATAATGTATTTTTCATGAAAAAGCATGAAGCTTGTCCCACTTGGTTTGCTCCATTCTTGAAGTGAATGTGATAGCGATGCATAATATATCTAAATAAAGACAAGTGGTTGACTAATGAACGTGGGCGTGCCAAAGACCAAAATAATAATAGTCATTATTATGATAATTATAAAAAGGAGAACAATAAGGGTTCTCAAAATAATCCTTCAAAGGTGAAGGAAATGTGTATCAATTTGTTGTGTAAAATAAGGCACGTTCAGACGATTATAGTCCATTTTTGAAGAGAATGTGACTTGTGCATTGAGAATGCAGATTCATTCCTGAAGGTGAATGTAACAATATGTGATAAAAGTAATGAATAAAGACGTGCAATGCATGATTAGATATACACCACAACTCACCTCTAAGGGAGGTTTGAGAGAAAGAGAGATAATGAATATTACTATGTGATTACATAAATATGTCATTGGTCGCGTACATGTGGTACGCCAAAAATATTTTGTCATGCCTTATAAAAGGTTATTAAAGGCAAAAGTAAAGCAAGAAATGAGTCTTGTCTATAATATTTTTTTTTTTTTGACAATGATAAGATAATTTTTTCTGTGGAGGAAAAATTCACCACTTGGATGGTGGTATAAAAGATCTTGTAGTACAAAAATTATTGAGAGCTCCGAAAGAGCGAATTTGTTACTACCCGAATAAATAAAATTATTCATGGCATTGGTGGTAGTAAGTCTCAAAAAGGAACTTTTTGAGTTTCAAATATATTAGACAAAGTGGTTGGCATATTGAGACTATAAATGAAAGGAAGATTGAATATCTTCATATTACTATAATCATACGGGGTAAATATGAAAGGTTACCCGATTTTTCTTCTATTTGTACTATAAATGTATAAGCATGGTGATGGAATCACATGCCATAGTAAATTAAATATTTACTGAAACAAATATTAGTTGGCACGACTGGTTGGCCATCCCGATTCAATTATGATGCGAAAATTAATTGAGAATTCACAATAGTATATATTGAAGAAATAGAAGATTCTTCAAGAATTCTCTTGTGTTGCTTATTCTCATGATATACCAGTCAAGGTTGGGATTGAATCCCTTAAAATCTGGAACAAATAAAAGGTGATATATATATATATATATGGGCCCAGTCACCTGCCATGTGGACCGTTTACTATTATATGATTTTAATAGATGCATCTATTGTATGGTCACATGTGCGTTGGTTATCAACTTGAATTGAAGCATCTACAGCTGGAATATGCGATTTAGTAACCCGTGGAAGGTTAGTAAATGCATCTAGTTGCAAGGTTGCTTGCTCAAGTTATTAGAGCACAGTTCCAGAATATAAATTATGATAATTTATTTTGATAATGCTGGTTTAAATCAAAGTTGGTTTAGCAGAAATTATATGCCTCCAATTAAGCTAAACCATTGATTATGAGAATAGAAACTCCCAAATCGAAATTTGGTATGAGGTATATTATTTAATATACAACAGCACTTGTACGCATCTAGCCAATAAGTTATGATAAATTCTCCCCATCACAATTGGTTCACGGTCAGGAACCAAATATTCCCATCTAGAAATATGGATGTGCTATATGATTTAATTGTGCTGTCACATTGCACAAAGATGGGTTCCCAAAGAAAGTTGGGAATTGTGTTGGTGATCCCAACATTAGGAGAAGAAAATGAGCAGCTAGAAAAAAGTATACATGGAATAGTAATTATTAGTAGTAGTACTACGTAGACTCCGTACGTAACAAAGTAAAGTGTAGTAAGTTTANTGCTGACCCAAAGCTAAATGTCATATTCCAGCAGCTAATGCTCCAAATAGAATGACGTCCATGATGGATAGAGTTTATGGCACGCATGAAGCGTAATAGACAAACCGGTTCCAAAGATAAAACTCCTTGAAGAAGGAGGGAGAAAATGTTCAAGATGGTCATAATAAGGAGGCAAGTGCTTTATAAGAGCACCATGACATAACATTTTATAAGACCTCATGGGAGAGGCTCAGGTACCTGAAAATAATGAGATCTCGATAAGTTATGTCTTTATTGTGCGATGATGGAACCGATATAAAATGATCGTCGACGATGTTGTTAATATAATGTAGCGCTCAATATTATTAATATTGATGAGGATCTTGAGATCAAATCTGTCATGGAATTTGGACAGATAAATGATTGGCCAAATGAAAAATATGCAATGAAAATTGACTTCATCTGAAAAATATGAAGTTGGATGAATAGTCCCAACAGCTGAAAGTATAAAGGCTATATGGAGATATTGAAATATGATCAGTATTATATTGCAAAAGAAATCCTTGATATAGATTTGTTTATTCTAACAAATATTGTCAAGGTTTTGTTGTTTATGAAAATGCAGGCATTTATTGAAGTCCGTTCTTCAAACAATCTATTTGTATGTGAGAAATTGTCATTTTATCATTTCACAAGATGTGTGACTTTTCTTTGAAGAGAAGATTCCAATAATAGTGAAGACGCTGATGTTTGCTTATCTCAATTGAAAGAAGAATATATTGAAGGAGACAGAATAAATCATATATTTCATCAAAGTTCTTTGTCAGACACGATCTTCAACAGAATGATGAAATAGATGTTCAAGAAATTCGTTCAAATGATTTGGCGGAATAATTCACCAAGGCATTGCCGATCTCAATATTAGAGAAGTTGTTAGATAAGCTTGCAATTCGTCGTCTCCGAGAAATAAAGTGATATTTTCATCAGGGGGAGGCAAATATGTGTTGTACTCTTTTTCCCTTAGCTAAGGTTTTATCCTACTGGGTTTTCCTGGCAAGGTTTTTAATGAGGCAGCAAGTAATGCGTATTACAAGATATGTGTACTCTTTTTCCTTCACTAGGATTTTTTCCCATAAGGTTTTTTCCTAGTAAGGTTTTAACGAGGCACATTATCTTTGGACATCCAAGGGGGATTGTTATGAAATACTTGATTATGGTGGATGTCCATAACTCCTAAGGAAGTAACACCCACTACTCTTCTCCATCAACCTCCAACTACTTCTTACTATTATGGATGTAACTCCCACACCTCCATGATCTTCCCCTATGTTCTCAATAGTTAATACCATATTTATGGCATCCCTTTGTATTACCTATATCATCCTATAAATAGAGGGTTTGGGCATCACATGTACACACTTGAATATATGGAAGAAATAGATTCTCTCCTCTCTTTCTCTCTACATTGTTGTCTATCTTCTTATTTTATATTATTACTTTGAGCTTAGTTTCTTAACATGATGGTCTTTAATACTCTATCTTTTTATTAAACCGATGGAGGGAAATAAGTATAGTTCATTAAAGGGTTGCTATCTGGTCCTAAATCATACAATTTTAGCGCAAAAAAGAGGCGCTACACCAAATTAGAATGAAATATGAAAAATTAACTTAAAAATATTTATCTTTTTAATGGAAATAAGAAACCTTAGCTGGATCCCACTCACGACTCATCTCCCTCAAAGAAATTAAAATCCCTAAATCACTACCCTCTAAACCTAAATCTGCATATTCCTCCCAAAGTCTATGAATATGTATATTGAAACCAGAGGTACATTTTCTACTCTTCCACTCTTCATCTCTGTCAATGTAGGTTTACAACCCATTTGTGCAGGTTTGGGGAGAAAATTAAACTAAGAATGGACTACTACCTCACCAAAAGTAAGCACACTTTCTTTTGAGAAAACCTTTACTTATTACTTCTCATCTGGGTTTTTGTAAAATCTAGGTTTTTAAAGATACTTTTGTCATTAGCGATTCTATTTTGTGGTTGCTCAGCATGATTTTTTAAAATTAGTTTCTTTTCAAAGATTACGTTTTCTTGTGTGTCCCCTTTTTCAATTGTTTGTAAAAGCCTTTTGTTTGTTTAGTTTTCTTGTAATTTGTTCTTCCTCTTCTATACTCTCTTTGTTAGTTTCTGAAATTAGTGCTTAAAGGAACTCCAGTAAAGATATGTCTTCAATTGTTTATTTCCCGAAAAAAAATTGATCTTTACTTCAATTTTGTCTAGATTGTTTATTAGTGAATTTTTATGTTTCAATCCTTTTGTAGCAGGAATATAGTGTTGAATAGTAGACAACCTTTTGCCTTTTGAAACTTATTTAATGTAATGTCTATTAGTTTTTCTCAACTTTTCCAACTTTTAGTGAGTCTAGTATGCATTGGCTTAGCTTTAGAAAGTCGTTACTGTGACTTGCTATTGTATTTTGGCTTCTGGAGTATTTGTGGCTCATTTATAACTCAACAAAATGAGAACTAACAACTCTATTTTCAATCAGCCCCGTTTTAGTTCTATCGTTGTAGTCAAAAGTGAAATTTTCCAGAACCGATTGTTTGACTTTAGTGCATTCATATTTAGGTAGTTTTATTATCTTTGTTTTTTTTATACCAGTATTAAGACACTAATAATTTTAGGTTAGAGTCAAGTTTTTGTTTAATTCAATTCACAAGCATGAAATACTATAAATATAAACAAAAATACATGGAACGAGTAGCTAGTACACTAGTTGATAAGTGTTGAATGGGTTCCATTTGTTTTGACAATTAATTTACTGCTTATCTCATTCTGGTGGTATATCATTATTTTTAGATCCTTAAATCTGATCATTAGTTAATAATTATTAACTTTAGCTCATTGGGTTATGCATTTCTAATGGCCAGAGAAACTGTTGATGAGTAACAATTAGTACACTAGTGTTCAACTGAGAAATTATTGTTCTCTGTTTTGACAATCAAGTTTCAGCTTGCATATTTGTAAAGTATTATTAGTTCTAATTTCGTAAATGTCACAAGTTAATAATTATTAACTCTTATCTCCTTTCCTCAATAATATCAGGTTTTGTGGCCAAACACTTCACGTTGCTATTTACCTTTTGAAGTGTGGATGATCACACTTGATGAATTGGGTAAGTAGTTAAATCATTGTTAGGGTAAAATTATAAATTATTATTTAATCAATTATCTTGTTGATCTTTATTGGTTCTTCTGAAGAGGAATTTTAATACTTCTTACAGGTTTTGGAGATTGAAGTTTATAATGAGATTAGTGTCTGATAGAAAAAGATAGCATCGGTTTGATTACGCCATATTATACACTTTAACCGCCGTTTTCCAAATAAATAAATAATGGCTGTTGAACTAACGCCATAATGTTTTGCTTATTACAGCGGTTCAAATGAGCTGCCATTTTAAAACCGCCGTTAATTTTTCGTTTATTTGTAGTGCAAGTAAAAAAGCTTATTTGGTGGGCATACAAGTTGACTATTATTTTGCTAGAAATATTGGATAAACTTTGTATAATGTCTAGGGATGTTAGTTAGGTTTTTTGTGTGAGTTCTGTCAACAACATCGTGATTGCTTAATTGAAGTGTACCTGTAAATGACTCCATTAATAGAGTGTTAATAAATTTTCGTAAATCAAAATTTATCTCTATACTATCTTTTGTTATCAGGTTTTCTTTTTACAAATTGTATTTGACATGCACAAAAATGAAATAAGTAAGATTAATTTGATTCCTAAAATTATTTTAGGGACTAGAATAACTGGTCGCTAAATATTTAACAACCATATTAACATAGTAACATGTCTAATATATTGTATTTTGGGACTAGAAAAATGGCCCCTAAAAGTGTTTTAGGGACCGACATTTCAACTGGTCTCTAATGAGATTTTACGACAAGACCCAAATCTCGCAATTGACTTTTAGCGTCGGAGGCTATAGCGATAGGTTGCGACCAGATATTTTTGGTCGCTATTGACGTTTAGGGACCAGAAATTAACATTTAAGGACCATTTTTCCCCTCGGTAAAGGCCATTTTTCTTGTAGTCGATTTGCACTGCGTTTTAGGCACGTCTCTTGCATCTCTTGATGGTAGAAGGATTTCTAAACAACGATGAAGATTGTACTATAAAAAAGGTGTGAATGAGGAGTATTTTCTATTTTAAAGTTAAATGTTAAAGAAGTCTATTAATTCACTGGTTTCTATATAAATAATATGTTAAATGCAAAGCAACATTGTTTGTTGAATGATTTGAATTATCCCTTGAGAGAGGAATATTGCTTCACATACATTGCAGTAATTTGTTTCTCAATTTTTTTTAGTAGGATTATGTTAATGCGATAAATACCAAGTAATCTTAGCTGAAGAACAGAATTCGTTTTGCGACAATCAATTATTGTTTGTTGTTTAATAAGTAACCGTGGATAAGCTGCAATTAATTTTGCTATTCACGTAATGCATGTTAGATCACAAAATTTTACAAAAAAAATTAGTAAGTTGTACTGCTTTGCCCTCAATAGGTACTTTTCAAGTCTAATAACTACTGGAGCAGTACAAGAATACGGATATTATTAACTTTGTGTTGAACTTAAACACATATCTTCTCCAACCATCATTATTTATCCGACTTCTTTCATAAATGAGGGTAAAGACAATCATTTAATTATCAATTTTCTCTTCTTCTTTTTTCTTATATTCTTTTCTATTATTTCTCGCTTTGCAGATTTGCTGGAGATGTTTAAGCTTCATTACTACTTGGAATCCACCTCCCTGAAATGGCTTTTCACTCAATAGATGATGTACCATTTAAGCCCATTAATATAGAAAGTTGAGCAAGTCTTCTCATTTGTTAAACCTAATTGGTCTTATTATGTATTAATGCCCTGACATACAAGTAGCTAGGTACTGAGTTAATAATACTATCTTTCCCATACCTACTTAGTCTTCTTCACCAGAACTCTTTTGATATAATTTGGTCGGGATATACTTTAAGTCAAGCCAGATCCTTATCACGCGGTCAGAGTTGGAATGCGACAAAAAAGAACTTAATATTATTTCTGTTTTAGGTGGCTTATCTATGATGATAACGGAACCCTGCTCCAGTCATATATATAACTGTTAATTGTTCTCATAGTTTGTCCATTTCCTTTATCTTACTGTCTGATAAGAAGAGACAGAAAAGTAACTGAATTTTTTTGAGTTTGTGACTTATCACGATTACCTTATTTTTTAACCACTAGATGCTTTGATTATTCAATCCCTCAGCAAACCCTTGGTTTTTTATTTAATTTATAATGTCTTTTGTTTTCTTCAGCAACAATCCTAAATGTCTTTCCTCTATTTATTTTTTCTGCTTTGGTCTAAATTGTATATCATCAGCTTTAATGGGGTTGAGTTCTACTGGTCTATATCAAATGGAGGGAATATATTACTAACACATTCTATGATAATATATGCTTCATGTCAATGCGTTGTGTTATGAGATAATGAGAAATATTAGCACATTATGTTGATTATTACGTCCATCTCTGCATGAGAAGAGTATTTATGTTGTGTTGGTCAGGATACTATGAATGATTCACTTACCACATAAATAAAGCTTTTACCACTTTGTCAGCATACTGCAGGAAATCCAACTACTTTCTTTTAAGAGACACGGGGCTGCGGACGTCAACAGCTACCTCGAAATCTCCGAAAGCTCGCCTGAATCTGGAAGAATCAGCACTCGGGAGCGGGACCTGATGCGCCTGAATCTGCACACAGGGTGCAGGGAGTAAAGTGAGTACTCCAACTCAGTGAGTAACAAATGTAAATAATGACTGAAAGTAAGAAATCACGCAAGGCACAAAGCATTCTATGATGAAGCAGTAAAAATCATTTAAAAGCAATGAACCAGTGAAAATACAAGTAAAATCCTCTTTCAACAAGTAAACAGATAAATGACGGATAATTAAGGTACAGTAAATAAATAAAATCTCGCCCCTCGGGCACAGTATCACCACATCCGCCCCTCGGACAACATCTCAGAACAATAACAGCCCCTCGGGCTCAATCTCACATCACACTGGGTACCCGCGCTCACTGGGGGTGTGCAGACTCCTGGAGGGGCGCCTTACGGCCCAAGCGCAATAACAAGCCATCTCGTGGCATCAAATCTAGGCCCTCGGCCTCATATCAGTCAAGCCACCTCGTGGCGTACATATCTCAGGCCCTCGGCCTCAAATCAGTATCAGTGTCTCCTCACAACATAGGCCCTCGGCCTTACTAAGTCAAAGTACTCACAAGCCCCTCGGACAATAGTAAAATAGTGTTTCTCAGCCCAAAACAATTAAAATATCATTTAAGTCTCAAATCGAGTAAAAATGGCTGAGTAGTAAAACAGTGGAAAATAACATGACTGAGTTCAAGTAGTAATTCAAAACAGTGAGAAAATATCAATAAAAAGCCCCGAAGGATTCAAATAGTTGGCACGAAGCCCAAATATGGCATTCAGCCCAAATGTTTCAGTCAAATACGCGGTAAAATCATCAACCGGAACGGACCAAGTCACAATCCCCAATAGTGTACGATCCCACGCTCGTCAGCAAGCGTGTGTCTCACCTCAACATAGCACTACGATGTGCAATCCCGGGTTTCAAACCCTCAGGACATCATTTACAATCATTACTCACCTCGAACCGGCTAAATCTCTAGCTCGCGACGCCTTTGCTCCTCGAATTGGCCTCCACGCGCGTCAAATCTATCCAAATCAGAACGAAGGCGTCAAAATATGTTAAGGGAACAAAGCCCAAGCAAAAATAATCGAAAAATACCAAAAATCCCAAAATTAGCAAAACCCGAGCCCCGGGCCCACCTCTCGAAACTCAGAAATTTTCACACCAACGGATTCTTTATCTCCCCACGAGTTCATACACATCAAAATTACAAAAATCGGAGTCCAAATGACCCCTCAAATCCCCATTTAAAGGCTTCTAAAAACTCAAGCTCTAATCCTCCATTTTTAGTCCTTTAATTCCTTTAATTTCTGTCTTAATCCATGAAAATCTACCATAGAATTGTGTTTTTGGTCCAAAAATCCCTACCTTAACGAAGTCTCTTGATTTCTCTCTTCAGAATCCCCCAAAAAGCTCCAAGGTCGAAGGCAACAATGGTGAAATAACCCAAAATCGCGAAATGAAATAACATATATGTTCTGCCCGGGCCTTTTCGCATCTGCGGCACCATACCCGCTTCTGCGGTACCGCATCTGCGGTCTTTCCTCCGCATCTGTGGAAATCACTTAACGGGCCAGTTACTGCATCTGCGGTCCACTCGCCGCATCTGCGGCTCCGTAGGTGCGGTCCTTCTTACGCATCTGCGGTTTCTGACTGCTCACTTCAAATCCGCATCTGCGGCCAACCCATCGCATATGTGACGCCGCACCTGCGAGTCCCCAAGCCGCAGGTGCGAAAATATCAGAAGCAGCAACTTCAGCAGCTGTAACACAATCCAATTTTCTCCGCTAACCACCCGAAATCACCCCGAGGCCCCCGGGACCTCATCCAAAAGCACCAACACATCCTAAAACCTTATTCAAACTTGTTCCAATCACCAAAACACTTCGAACAACATCAATTCAACCAAAACACATCGGATTCAAGCCTAAGCTTCTAAAAAACTTCCGAAATACGCTTTTGATCAAAAACCCAACCAAACCACGTCCAAATGACCTGAAATTTTTTACACACATCCCAAATCACATAACGAAGCTACTGCAACTCTCGGAATTCCATTCCGACCCCTATATCAAAATCTCGCCTACCAACCGGAAATCGCCAAAATCTCAACTTTACCAATTCAAGCCTAAATCTACTCCGGACCTCCAAAACCTATTCCGATCACACTCCTAAATCATAAATCATCTCCCAAAGCTAACCAAACCATCGGAACTCACATCCAGCCCTCTAACACATAAGTCAACATCCGATTGACTTTTTCCAACTTAAACCTTCCTGAAAAGACTAAGTGCCTCAAACTCCACCAAAACCAATCCGAATCCAATCCGACCAACCCGATACCTCAAAACACGGATAAACAAGGCATAAAGAAGTAGAAATGGGAGAAACGGAGCGATAACTTATGAGACGACCGGCCGGGTCGTCACAAATCCTCCTTTGGAAGCTCCCAAATCGCTCAAGAAATGAATGAAATATGTCAAAAATGACACATTCCCGTATTAAATGAAGGCACTGCCTTTAGTGATTACCGCACCTGCGGTTAGGGGACCGCATCTGCGGTCTCGCTTCTGCGAGGGAAGGTCCGCAGAAAAATAATATTTATATTTCTATATGTAAATATAGAAAATATTAATAATATTATTTTAAAAAAATAATATTATTAATTTTGATATATTAAAATTGATTAATAATATTTATCTTAAATTGAAACTTAAAAATAATATTTATATTTATTCTTTAAATAAGTAAAGAATGATCAAGTTTACAAAAAATGAGGTTTTCTTCGTATACTATATAAAGTTTTTGTTGAAGAAAAGCATTTGAAAGCGTGCCAAAAGACAAAGCTGGGCACACATGAATTTGTGAGCATGTCACTTTCAT